GCTCCATCATACAATCCTCCAATCCATCCCTGCATTGACAATACAACCCTACATCCATGCTCCCATCATACAATCCTCCAATCCATCCCTGCATTGACAATACAACCCTACATCCATCCAATCATTACAATACAACCCCTCCAATCCATCCCCTGCATTGACAATACAACCCTACATCCATCATACAATCATACAATCCCTCCAATCCATCCCTGCATTGACAATACAACCCTACATCCATCCATCATACAATCCTCCAACCCATCCCTGCATTGGACAATACAACCCTACATCCATCCATCATACAATCCTCCAATCCATCCTGCATTGGCATTGACAATACAACCCTACTCATCACCCATCCCCCATTGGTACAATACAACCCTCCAATCCCTGCATTGGATAATACAACCCTACATCCATCCATCATACAATCCTCCAATCCATCCCTGCATTGGACAATACAACCCTACATCCATCCATCATACAATCCTCCAACCCATCCCTGCATTGGCAATACAACAATCCATCCCTGCATTGATATACAACCCTACATCCATCCCTCCCATCATAACCCTCCAACCCATCCCTGCATCATGACAATACAACCCTATCATACAATCCTCCAACCCATCCCCAATCCATCCCTTGACAATACAACCCATACATCCATCATACAATCCTCCAATCCTCCAATACAACCCTTGACAATACAACCCTACATCCTGCTCATCCATCATACAATCCTCCAATCCATCCCTGCATTGGACAATACAACATCCCTCTCCATCCATACAATCCTCCAATCCATCCAATACAACAACCCTACATCCATGTTCCATGGCAATACAATCCTCCAATCCATCCCTGCATTGACAATACAACCCTACATCCATCATACAATCCATCCATTGGTAATCCATCCATCCAATCCATCCCTCCAATACAACCCTACATCCATGCTTCCATCATACAATCCTCCAATCCTCCATCCAATACCCTCATCCATCATACAACAATCCTGCAATCCATCCCTGCATCATACAATCCTCCAATACTGCATTGGATAATACATCCAAATCACATCCATCCATCCAATCCATCCCTGCATTGACAATACAACCCTACATCCATCATACAATCCTCCAACCCATCCCTGCATTGACAATACAACCCTACATCCATCATACAATCCTCCAACCCATCCCTGCATTGACAATACAACCCTACATCCATCTCCCACATAATCCTCCAACCCATCCCTGCATTGACAATACAACCCTACATCCATGCTCCCATCATACAATCCTCCATCCCTGCATTGACAATACAACCCTACATCCATCCCATCCAATCCTCCAATCCATCCCTGCATTGACAATACAACCCTACATCCATGCTCCCATCATACAATCCTCCAATCCATCCCTGCATTGACAATACAACCCTACATCCATGTCCATCATACAATCCTCCAATCCATCCCTGCATTGACAATACAACCCTACATCCATGCGTCCATCATACAATCCTCCAACCCATCCCTATGTCCATAAAACAGACCTCAAACTCAAGACTCAAGCTCATAGACAATTACATTTGTGAAACCACACACACGTTTTTGGACCTGATAAACCTAAAAACAGAACCATTTGGGGATTCAAACCAGCTATCACAGGTTCCATTTATAAATTAACTACACTGTGAATTTTAAGAGTGACTTAGACAACTACACCACTCATGCCCTCCGGAGTCAGGACAATGTTTTAGTTCTGTGAACTGTGAAAAGAAACATAAGATATGTGACAAACTATTGATTCTTATAATACACATTCTGTTGCCATGACAATGCATGATGGTATTTTAGATTTTGTTATTTTTGGAACATGTGATCCACATGGAAGTTTACATAAAAGAATGATCGTATATACATCAATACTAAGTGATGAAAACATGTGTTTAGACAGTACAAATAGTTCACTGATAAAATATCCAAATAACCAGCAGGCTTCAACAAACACCATGGTGGACTAGACAAACATCAGTTGACATCAAGCAAGAATTGGGCTTTTAACAGTGTAGGAATCTGACTGCTTGAAAGCAGTTCCTTGTTTACATTTAACAGAATCAGAGGACGGAACCGGTTGAAATATTTGTGCTTTATAAATGTAAAACTCAACAAATTTGCCCCAAAATGTTGTATTGAAGTCAACTAGTGTATTTTCATTGGAACAGTAATATTTTTAGTGGAAACGTCTGCATGGCAAATAAATCTAACTTGTCAATTTCAGTAAAAAGATACAGTTGTAGCTGATATCCTGATATTTTCCTGCTCAGGTGGCAGTGATAACTGCATCAAGTACGGTACAGATTCAAAGCAAAGCATCACATGCAAATCAAGTGTAATTTCAGAAAATAATGCCATACCCACTTACTCCTACAGCTACACTGACATTAACCAACAAACATTGAAAAACCATTCTCATTTTGTTGAACAATAATAATGAATTGCAAATTGAAAATATCTAAAACAAATGCAAAACAAAATGGCAGAACTGAGTGATCTTTGATATCAGGTTTCTTAATCCCACACTTTCATAATCCACGTAAATGGTGCTGTCAGATGCTAGATCAATACTTGAACCTTCTGTAGGCTTCTATAGGAACAAGTTTTAAGCCTGAAACCACTGCCGTTTGATTAAAAGTGACCCACATCTACCGACATACGACATACAATCTATCCTTGACAACGACGTCAGACAGCTGCATCTCACCTTGCCATGGCGATGTTCAGCTGATGTTTACCACATGTCATTGTTACAGTTATCCGCTGTCTCAGCTGGAATACTTTCCACTTTGTTCATACTCATAAAACACGTGTGTCCATTTTGTCAATACGTTCAGTTTAGCTTCCTTCAAATGACACAAACAATTCTACGCTGGACTTCAATCCAATCGGAGAGCAGTATTAGTGTGTGGGCTTCACGACAAAGCGAGCTCAATACCTAAATCTGTCATTAAGGTCCTTCCATTTCCCGAACAGCCAAACATCATAGCCCACGGGACAATCAAGAACCGGTAATTACTTCAGTTGGGTGATCGACACATCGGTCACTAAATATACTCACTCTGATACTCTAAGGTATCTCAGATTCTGATAACGTTTATTCCTGACATTTCCTTTGCCCAAAAAATATAATTCGATCAAAGACTAGTGCTTAGGGAATTTGGAGAAACAAGTTTTCTTAAGGAATTCAAATTTGATTAAATGTTCAATTCAAAAAGCGATCCATAGCAAAATTAATTCGGAAGTCGTGTCAATCTATACCAATTTTAGAAATCAATAAGCGATAAAAAGATGCTTTTTTCACAAAATCAATAAAAGTTGTAAGAAACAAAACCTGAACGAATAGATCAGATGACTGGTATAAAAATGACATGAAGTGTATAGGATTTAGCCTCAGGTCTCTGAGAAGCAGAACAGACCAGATTAAGAAATTTGAATCTCGATATAACGATCTGGTTATCAGGGTCATCAGGACACCAGGTGGTCTTCCCTACAGAGACTTATAATATCAGAGATATGTCACTACTCCCCTGACAGCTAATGATATTTAATATTTAGACTTAGTTATTTATATCCTGAAACCATGATATAGAGGACAGTTTGAAGTTTGACAAATCTTCAGCATCAAGTGAATGGCGGTGTGGTTAAAGCGTTTGTTCGTCATGTCAAAGACATGGGTTCGATTCTCCACATGGCTACAATGTGTGAAGCCTATTTCTGGTGTCCCTGCCACAATACTGCTGGAATATTGCTAAAAGCAGCATAAAACCCAATCCACTCACTCACTCACTCACAGAGTGAGGGGCTGTGGGCTAGCCTAGTGGTTAAAGCGTTCGCTTGTCAAGCTGAAGACCTGGGTTAGATTCTCCACATGGGTACAATGTGTGAAGCCCATTTCTGGTGTTCCCACCATGATATTGCTGGAATATTGCTAAAAGCGTCGAAAAACCACACCCACTCACTCACCCACTCACAGGGTGGGGGAGGGTGGGGTAGCCCAGTAGTTAAAGTGTTCGCTCACCGGGCTGAAGACATGGGTTTGATTCTCCACATGGGCACAATGTGTAAAGCTAATTCTGGTGTTCCAGCGTGATATTGCTAGAATATTGTTTAAAAAACAGTGTAAACCCATCCTGACTTACCATCAAGTGTATGGGTTTGGCTTACAGACATGGGCATGTTGTACAGGTGCAGTCTATGGCCAGCACCAAACAGTAATTACTTCTCCCATTATTGTAATTGCAAAGAGGAATCAAATTGTGACATTGCAATTCACATCAGATCACAATCCCATCTGTCACTGGTCGACCATGATTACTCATCCGATAACGTTTCATGATAAACATTCTTTATTTTCAATGCACAGCTATATTACCAGAAGATTTAGTCTGATAAAATGAGTGTTGAAGTTGACTAGAAAGGGACAACAGACAGTTTGAGATCTGGCACCAACACTCAAAATACACACTTATTTGATTTCTATCGTGTTCAGCCCAAAACGTACCGACACACATAGTTTAAATATTGTCATCCATTATCTAAATTGTTGTGAAAGTGAGTAAGCGAGTGAGTGAGTGAGTGAGTGAGTAAGTGGCAATGTCTTCCAAATTCATGGTACCACTAGGAGACAAATATACCAAATCTGATCCTGCATTCCCAAAATGCAAGTTGTACATCTTTGAACAAATATTGTCTCCTCTTCAGAATGACAGGAATGTTAAACATTCATTTTTATAGTGTTTCCATGGGAACAAAGTCATGCACTAGTGGAAGTACTCATGATACTATAAATAGTATCTCAGCAAACAATGTTGCATGTTAATAATTAAATTACCAAGGCTGACCAACAGATCCAATTAGTCGCCTCTTCCGACTGGCATAGGTTGCTGTTCTAGACTAGAATCTCTAGGGAGGGGACAGCTATGTCACTGACCTGACTTGGCATCTTGACTGGATACGGAGGAAGGTGAAGGAGGCTGAGTTGTCTTTTCCTTGACTGGATGCGCTGGAAGGTGAGGGAGGCTGAGAGTCTTTTCCGCTGGGTCCGGCTGGAGTACGCCCGCACCAGTTCGTGCATACGCTCACTGAGCGTGCTGCTGACATTGGACAGGCTGTTGGAGTTAGTCAGGCTGAAAACACAAAAACTATACGTTATATTTGGGATTACATTTACTGAGTAAAGTATAGATTTTAGTACTTTTGTTAGGGTGAGTCCTATCTGGTATTCTCAGAGTCAGGCACCTAATCGCCAGCACACAAAGTCAGCCATTGAACCCACTCAGCCACCGCAGCTTCCAGAAAATGGAAGTTTGACAACTGGTAGTCTAGATCATGAACTTCGTGTACCCCTCTGACAAGTGTAAATTGGCATGGTTCCCACGGACGAAAGCTATGAATACACACTGACATTTAGAGTGAGTGTGTTAGTTTAGTTTTATGCCGCACTCAGCAATATTCAAGCTATGTGGCGGCGGTCTGTAATTAATCGAGTCTGGACCAGACAATCCAGTGATCAACAGCATGAGCATTGATCTGCGCAATTGGGAACCGATGACATGTGTCAACCAAGTCAGCGAGCCTGACCACCCGATCATGTTAGTCGCCTTTTACGACAAGCATAGTCACCTTTTGCTGAATTAAAATTTATTGTATTTACAGCAGTCAAGATGCTACAATGTTGAAAATTAGAACATTGTTTCATAGACAATGACATCTGGATACTGGTCACATGTATTTTTGTCCCTTCAGCTGTCCAGACACTTTATAAAATATGGCAGGGTGTAGTTTCTGTTGAAACTGAGCTAAAGATTGCTTACATCAGCAGTACTACTTGATTCAGCGTGTGGATTCTGAGTAAAGTACAGCAACTTTTAAGTGATGAACTAGTCAGAACTCTGGCTTATCATATACAAATGCTTTTAGACACTCATGTTCACACTGTTTGCAGACTTATTTACAGAAAAAGATCCTATAGACATCATATAGAAAAAAGGAGCTTATGGGATTTGGTTTTTGATGAAAGCAAATCATATCTTTTTAGTGTTCATTACTTAAAGGAGTTTAAAAAGTTTGGTTCCAATCTGAATATTAATGCGAAAGCTATTTTTAGCTCAAAATCCAAGATGGCCGCCAAAATTTAACTGGGAACTGAAAAAGTTGCAAAACATGGAACAAAACAATGGTTTAATATCAAATACCATGCATATTTGGTTAAGGTATATATTTATCATATGCTGTAAGTCACCAGATCGTTTTAGTTTGCTTTTAGTCTAAAATTTACAGCAAAAACATATTTTAGTTCTAAAGATAATGATGATTCATGTCACGATGATGAATAAAAACCCTATTTCTGAAAAAACCCATATATTTTATATAGAACTAGTACGATATGAAAAAGGAATATGCTCCTTACCCTGTTTAACAACATTAGAAGAGGTCTTACAATGAAACAGATCCAGAAATAATCATTTAAGGCCTTTTCTCTTGATCAAACATGTTGCGGTTGCCATGACCTGACTATAAAAAGTTCAAGTCAAACTGTCTTTACTTCTAGTATACACAATCAATTTGGTCGGTCATTCAATTTAATGAAATTAATGTGAGTAAAACTCATGTCCAATGACTTGAATGTTTGGTGTTTCATATCAGTCACTATCAGAGTCAGTGTCAGAAACACTGAACTGAATGGTGAATACATTTTCACAAGAGTCAGCCCTTGAGCATGCACACATTTCGGTGCATGGGAGTCTGTTCTTGTGACATACACAGAGTCTGGTGGAACATCTTGATGCTGTGCAGCCACATTTCACCAGTTGAATGATCGCTGCAGGAGCTGGAGGAACTGTTGTGGTGACTGGTTTGAAACCATCCTCGGTTAGAGTCCAGCCATACTTTTCGGGGGAAGGAAGTTCAATGTTGGCGCAGATGGCATTATGCCAGATATATGCTTGAAAGTGTGATCTCAGTATGGCTGGTTGTAGTGCTGCAGCGGTTGGTGGAAGATTTTCTGCTTGTGCTTGTTTCTTTGTAAACAACCACCAGCGTGCTTTTGAAACGCAATCAAAGTGTCCTTGTGGAACATACAACTTACAAACATACTTCTCTAGGGCAGCCAGTGTCTGATCAGAGGGCCAAACTGTGGTACCAAGTTGTGCAAATGCTGATAATGTTTCATCATTTAAATTCTGCAATGCCCTCCAGCATAACTGTTTTCCTTTTCCAGAAAACCTTCCAGTAATGTCTGCCCCAGAGAATGCATGAAATGCAGGTAATGCAGCTGCCTTGTTTGGCCCCAGTAATCCAACAAGTGGTTCCAGTTTGATGATCCTGTGTTTCTCTTTATTGCCTGTGATGAAACACGTGTCCTGGCACAGATCAATATAATGTCTAATTGCCAAAACGAAAACATCAGTGTCAGGAGAAAATATGTGAACTGTGGTTGCACCTGCCCTTGTCGCTTCATGGGCATGGAGAATTAGCTTTGTATCAGCCTCCTCTTGATTGCTTGCAAGATGAGCAACATCTCTGTGGCAGGCATCAGCTTTGTCACTCCATGCAACAACTAATTCTTTTCCCAAAGTTAGAGGATGGTTGAGTAGTTTTCTTGCAAGATATGCTGTAATCTCATCCTTTGTCTGTGTATGAGCCAACAAGTTTTGCATGCTGATCCTACTGATAGATGTTGTGTCTGTAATGTGATATGCAACAGCAATATTCCCACCTTGCCTTCTGTTCCTAGTGGACATTTTCAGGGAGTTTGAAATGTCGTATCTGTCAAACACCAAGTGAACCTCATCATATTTAGCATACTTTTGCCAATGCCTGTGAGCAAAATGGTCTGCCATGTCTGAACATGTCCTTACCCATGTTGGTTTGTCAAGTGATTGTAGATCTGCCATCCCATCAACTATGGCAACTTGCCTTTTTTCACTTGGATCTTCTGATGAAACTTCATCACTTGTGGCATTCCTCTGTAGATTTTCCAGGATGGACATCAAATCACTTTTTTGATGTGGTGTGCAACAGAGTACCATCAGCTGCAAACAGAGATCTAGGAACCACGGAGAATTCAAACTTGCCAATTGCCTCCTCAAGATTAACTTCAGGTCTTGCTTTTGAGACAATTAGTAGCCGGGCAAATAACGCTCTGTCTTCGCGGAGTTCAATGACTGCTTTTTCTGTTTTCACCTGCACCTTCTTTGCAGAGGACGACCACATTTGTAGCTGTAATTTCTTCATGGGTGCCCACAAATTGACGTGTTCATTTCTTATTCTCTCACTGACAAAGGTTTGAAAACATTCTTCACCCACCTCTGTTCTCCTCTTGATGTCCATTTGAACATGTGATGGCATCACTGCCTTTGAGACCAAGTTGATGAGTTGCCCATTTGGTTGTTCAAGACTGAAAGGGTTAGTAAAATCAGAGATGGTTTCAATCAGACTTGTCACATTCTTTTCTTGTTGCTTCAGTTTAGCTCTAGTGTTTTCATGATGATGAGTAGCTTCAACTTTCACTAATCCTGCCATTTTGCGAGCTTCTTCAGCCAAACATGCCAGTTCAGGAGCTGCCAGAAAAAATCTGTTACGAGCTGCTGTGTTGAGAGTAATACCAATGAGTCCTCCAGATACTTTCATAGCACGGTTTACTTGTTCCAGTGCATGGTCCGCTCCAATTGCACAAAATGGAATTGTGTTCTTATTGACAATCCAGTTGCCCTTCATAAATTCTGACCAGATATCTGGATCTCTCTCAGAGACTGCCTGCATGTCTGCTAGATAAACTGGGATCATGCGTGCATAGTTCAACTTGTCATGGGCAAAGAAGTGTTTGACAAATATCTGGGTTGTCTCAAGATGCAGTTTCCAGTCACCAGAACGAACAGCTCGTATGTAGTTCAACATCTCTATTACCATTTGCATGTACTGCAGCATGGCATTGGCGACTGGCTTCCTGTTCATTTTTTTCTCAAACATTTTCATTTCATAGGTGATTTGAAGTGACTCAATGGTTTGATTGAAATCATCATGAGCAGTTTTCACACTCTGTGAATCTGCATTCTTGCAAGAAGTGTTTATAGCCTGGGCCTTCACTGTGCAGGTCTGTTTAATGTCTTCTTTGTCTTCAAAGAAAGCTTCCCCATACAGCATGAACAATGCCTGCAATGTGGTCAGATGAGCCTGTATGGCACGTTTGACATGTTTCCCATCCAAAATCTGTTCCACTGTTACTGGCCCATAGAGGTCTGCCTCAATCCAAGACATATCTATTCCACTGTTTTCTATGAAAGATCCTAAAGTACGCAGCTGAGCCATAACTGTATGGAGTTCTCCTGGTCGGAGAATGAGGTGTGTGCAGTCATTTCGAGACATCTGTAGCTGCTTTGCTGGTTTGTAAAGTCCCATGTCAAGAGTGATCACAGTCTTATGTCCTTCACCGACAACTTTGGTGGAGATGCCCTGAGCTTTCTTCAACACAGTCAAAAGTGTCTGCCATTCATGTGCAGGTGCAGGAATCAGTGGAGGGTACTGACACCAGTCACTGGCATTTCTCTGCTTATCAAGGAGTTGTAGGCTGACCATGTTGGAGTATAATCTTCATCTCCGGGGTTTGGTGCCTTGGCCTCTTCTGCTGACTCCAATTGTAGCTCATCCATTTCTTGAGACTCTGTATTGATTTGCTTATCATTATTTCGACATTTCAGCCTTGTCAGGGTCTTAGCAAAAAGCCATGTTATGTCACTTTTGTAGTCACTCATTTGGCGTCTTTCTTGCATCAGGGTAAATGTGGCCTCAGCAGGCCTTGATGGCTTCAGTGTTTTTGGCATTTGACATCAAGTAGTCTTGTGATAGTGCCTGGCAGATGTTCAATTGAACGAGCACTTGCTGGGCCATGTAGCTGGATTCTTTTGAGATCATCATTTGGCTGACATTGTTGATACACTGCCATAATAGTACCATGTAACGTGTGCTTTCCATCTGGCGTATCTTCAGCAAAATCTACATTATCAACTGCAAAGAATATGTGTCGGCCATTGACAATGTTGGGTGGCACATACACTTCTTCCTGTTCAATTCTGGCTAAAGCAGCATTTGCAATCTGGGTTTCAAGTCGAAGTAGTCTGTCATAGTCAACTGAGACACCAAATCCATGCAACATATTGATCACTTTCTTACAGCGTATTGCTTGGCGAATAGCAATGCCAACTGCTAATTGTTGTGGCATTTCTCGGTGGTACCTGACTACATCAGATTTTGATGCACACTGGCGATCAGATAGACAGAAAGAAACAGGTACATCAGCTTTATGGTGTTGCATGTATGTAGATAGCTGTTGCACTGCTGGTCCCCAATCCACAAAATGTTTGTTGCATTACAAGCTACCGTTACTCCATAGTTTATCATTGGCCTACAAATGACAGTACTACGAAGGTTTAGCTAAGATTGGGATCCGGATCTCAACTGCTTGAATTTTATCTCTGCTCTATGCTAAACACCCTGCACCCATCCATTTGCCATAGCTCTGTTTGGGCCCTTATTTGAACACAGTTAAGCTATAAAATAAAATTACTCTAATTCTGGGTTAGAAAAAGGTGGAATTGAGGCAGTGAAGACATTCAGGGTATTTACCAAATTCAACGAAACTTGATGACTCTGCATAATAGAAAATACTGTTTTCAATATAATAATGGGAGAAGTGTGTTTTCAACATCCATTGAAAATCAGATTTTATGACAATATAGATGACCAAAAAAAGTCAATATCAAGAAATTCTTTCAGATAATTTCATTCTATTTTCAATATTCCAGCTATACGGCGGCCGTCTGTAAATTATGGAGTCTGGACCAGTCAATCCAGTGATCAACAGCATGAGCACTGATCTATGCAATTGGGATACGATGACGTGTCAACCAAGTCAGCGAGCCTGACCATCCGATTCCGTTAGTTGCCTCTTACGATAAGCATGGGTTACTGGAGACCAATTCTAACCCGGATCTTCATGGGTCTACATTGAGGAATACCAGAAATGGGCTTCATGCACTCTACCCATGTGGGGAATCGAACCCAGGTCTTTGTTGTGATAAGCAAATGCTTTAACTACTAGGCTAGTCCACTGCCCTGACAATTCTTAGATGTCTGCCATGATGGCAACACCATACACATGATTAGGGAGCTGACAACATTATTAGAATAAACGGATGAATCTGGGCTTTGAACCCATGACCATATGATTTTAGTGCACCTTAGCAATGCACCTACAATGTGAATCGCACCTTAGCCTACTTGGCCACTGATGGCCCCTGGTCACAAAGTTCAAATAAGTCTGTTCAAGATGTTTGATCATTCCAGTTTTTACTCCGTCAAATCCTTGCACAAAAACCATCATACAACGCCATGCAGCCAGACATTAAAGAATGGTTTATATAAGAAGAAACTGCCGTTGGACATAAACGTCCTTCCCTACAATTGTGAAAAAAGACCAAACCTCATCTGTTTGAAACAGAAAAGTAATCACTGGAAAAGCTTAACAAAAAATATCTGTAGGATTATTTTTCTGTGAGGGCCTGCAAAACTTGCTTAATAATCAGAGGAAACCTAGTCTGCCAAGGTTTTGGTTCCTTTGTCAATCACAGTAAATGCCAATCAAATATTTAACCTCCTCTTAATGTCAGCCATATTGATTTTTCTGAATGTGACAAAATGCAAACGACATTTCAACTCGGCTGATCACTTTGATCATATGGTGTACAAGTTTTTGAGTTAAAGGAACATCTAAGTACCTGATCATTTCTGAAAAATAAGACAAGTGACGTAAGGGTTAGGGTAAGACTATTTGTTCAAGGAATTGAGAGTTTTAGAGATATTCCCCTTTACATATTGAGAACATCTTTACTCCGATTATGTGAATGTGATATACTAGTATATCAAGGCAGGTGACACCAGAAATGGGATTCACACATTGTTCCCATGTTGGAAATCAAACCTGGGTCTTCAGCGTGACCAGCAAATGCTTTAACCACTTGGCTACCCCACCGCCCCTTGAACTCAACCAATCAGAACCTTCCATCCCATTTAACTCGGGGAGATAACACAAGATAAGTTCACTCTGCCAACACAATCTGCATTGTGCCAGGTACAAACAAAGCACTTCTAAGGTATTGAGATTGGAGAGACAAAATGGAACCCAATCTTCCTGTTTTCCTGTGTGTGGGAGAGCTGGCAGAGCCATCGTCAGCTAATGCAAACATGGTCTTTGTGCTGCCTCAATCTGACAGCACCCGAGAAACTCCAGTATGTCTCAGTCCAATGTCATCTAAACTAATCTACACTTTGTCACTGAAATGACAGACTCTTTACGCCAGCTGAAATTAATAAAAGGTTTCCTGTGTGAAAGTGGACAATTGATCGATCAGCTTCAATTTAAAAAGACAATAACAGCCAGCTCTGATTTTTGTAACACTATATCCACTAAAACTGAAACCTGTTGGGACTAAACTCATTTTCTTCTTCAATCACTCAGTCTGTTGCATAGGGCGATGAAGCAAGAAAACAAATAAAAACCAATATATCATCTTCGAATATGGATTGGTCCTTCACAGAGTAGAGGTGAGAGAGTGAGTTTGGCTTATCACTGCTTTATACAGAAGGTTTGTATGCTTGGTGCAAATGTGTGTCCCGTACACACAAATGTAGAGAATGGGTGCAGGAAAACATTCACTGTATCCAGGTGGACACACAATATTATCCACTGTACCTACAACACATCTATGACTTTGTTAAGTGTTTGGTTGTTTCTTTCAGAGCAGTTACATGCATCATTTCATCCATCAGTCCACATGATCAATGATTAATTCCAGCCTCTAAAGAAATTATCAAAACATACAGTTCTCTACACAGTTATTTTACTCACAAAGGACCCTTAAAACTAATGATTAGGGGTCCCTATGTTTGGGAGTCCAAGTAAAACCCTGTCACAGTATTCCAATCATATAAGGAGAAACTTTATGGATGAACAACTTCTCTATTTAGGTGATGCGATGTTCCGATACAAATTCTTGTATTGATTTATTCCAGGCTCCAAAGAAATTATCAAAACATACAGTTCTCTACATCATTACGTCTCAGGACTAGGGGTGTCACGATACACCAATCTCACGATACGATACGTATCACGATTTTATGGTCACGATACAATACGTATCGCGATACATAATTTTCACGCCTTTTCATAGCATTACCTTACCGGCAACGTACACGCTCGCTGATTGGTCCATCAAAATAGTCTAGCCAATCACAAAAGCTGTTAGTTTCCAACCTATTTCTAAGTATAGCTAGCTACATCTATTTATCGGAGCGGTCTCGTATAATTTTACTATCAAGACTTTGAAGGAGATGGATATAGCATAAAAATTTGAATCGATAAAGTTTTAAAATAGGAATCGATACACGCAAGAATGTATCGCGTATCGTATCGTCAGTAAAAATGTATCGATGTATCAATACATTCGCGTATCGCGACACCCCTACTCAGGACCCTCATAACACCTGTAAAATAACTAATAATTAGGGGTCCCCAGGATCGAAGTAAAACCCTGTTACAACATTCTAATTATGTTACAGTATTTCACCTTGATGTGGGATGAAAGGTATGGTTTACGGACAATCCTAGTAAAATCATCAGGGCGAACCATAATTTGAACCCATGATCACAGAATACGGACACACATCTGCACAGTGAACTGCAATGTCTTTGATAGTAAGGATAGGGCCTTCAGAGAGTAGGGTTAAATGAATAATTGATCAGTATTCAAATTATGTCAGATTGTGTCACCTTCATGATGGATGAAAGCCGAAAATAGGTATGGTATGTACAATCCAGCAAAATCATCAGGGGAGCCATAATTTGAACCAAGAAAAAAATCCTGGTCTGCACTAGAGTACTAATTTGTACAATGAATTGCGGCACCTTCGATGTGTGAATTAGGCAGTAAAAAGGCAGATAACAGTGATTTATCCATTAGCATGTCAGTATAAGACAAAACTGGTTGGACACCTATAACAACAAGCACGTAACAGCTAATTACAGATGATCCAGGATTTGCTTGCTTCAACCTCACTCCTGGCAGATATTGATTTCTTTCACATCAGCCAGCTAGGCAATGTAGATACAAGGTGAGTCTCATTTTAACTTTATTTGCAGAAAATAAATTGTCCACAAGAATATCAGCTACCAATGGTTGATATATACATCTAAAAAGTCCCTTTGAACAGTAATTTCAGATGAAAGTTTTATTGTCAAACAACATCAGTGATGTCTTGAAATCATATGCCAGTTGACATCGTAAATGGAAATATGTGGGGGCACAAACATGAGATCTTCCACCTTGATCATAAGGCGACCACATTCTTCTGGGACAAGAATCTTACCTTATATGTGGCAATATATAATATTTCCTAAGATGATAGATCAGAGTAATACAGCACATGTGAGTTGATGTGTATGTTGACAACAGGGCACCAAGTATCTAGGATTACAATCTAGATCCTGACACAGCAAAGGGAAGTAACTGCACAGCAGAAACTCACAGTGACATCTTTTGATGTTTTTAGCTTGGTTTATTGCTGCTTGTAACAATATCCTTCTTATCATCACATGAGTTTAGTTTTACGCCACACTCAGCAATATTCCAGCTATATGGCGGCGGTCTGTAAATAATCGAGTCTGGACCAGACAATCCAGTGATCAACAGCATGAGCATCGATCTGCGCAATTGGGAACCGATTACATGTGTCAACCAAGTCAGCGAGCCTGACCATCCGATCCCATTAGTCGCCTCTTTCGACAAGCATAGTCGCCTTTTACGGCAAGCATGGGTTGCTGAAGACCTATTCTACCCGGATCTTCACGGGTCGCTACTGTGGAAGGATGCCCAAATGTGAGATGATGCATGGAAAGCACTGGTTTGAACATGTTCCATGTCAGAATCAGTGCAACTATAATCATCAAAATTGAATGATAGCTGTCAGTGAGTGCACAAGAACCAATAACATCTGTCATTGTTAGATAATCATTAACAATCATGTCTTTTCACAAAAATACATCACCTGAGGTGACATACCTAAAGGTGCAGCTTGCAGAAATTCTGCCATGTTTACTGGTATCAAAAAGGTTGAAAATATTTTTTATGATTCTGAGTAGGTTAAAAATATATACAAAATAACAATAATTACACAATAAAAAAACAGCCGGTAAAAAAATGATCATCTGATATATTTGAGTATTTAATCTTTTGCTCCTTAGAATTGATTTCACTGCATTTTCACCATTTCAAAAGTCCAAAGTTGAGAGTTGAAATATTATTTCACACAATACTAGTTTCAAGACACAAACATTATCTTTCAGTGTGTAAGACTTGACTGAACCAATGGCCCTTTTCAGCCTTCAACATGTTAAGCTGAGAGGGCCTTATTTTCTAAACCTCAGTAGTTTCACTTCAAATCAATCCAGCACAACAATTGAGTGCATTTAAGTATAAGAAATGGTGCTGACCTGAGTCAATTGAGGTCACACCTTTATGGTATTACGGCTTGATTAGATCCACTAACAGTTAATTGTGTTAATCAAGGAAAACTTACCAACAGAAAAGAAAGTTAAACAGAATACCTACATACAAAAATATTAAGAAACAGATGTCAACACATAAAAGATATTCAAAATCGCCAGCAAAATTGCATTATCGATTCTAGAGTAATTATGACCATACCTTAAAGTAAATTTCCCTCAAGCATATCACAAAATGTATGAAACCCAAAAGATTTAGATACAGCTTTTTGAGAAAGGAGGGGTGCACAGTTAATTTTCACCCATTTTCACAAGAGTTTCAATGGTCATTTAATAAACTTTCAAGACAAAATGGGTGTGCAACACAAACACACACACCCCCTCTGATCCGCCCATGTACTTCACTGAGAAAGTGTAACCTCAAACATAACATATATTAACAGTGACCACTCCACAAAAAGCATTGTGTTTTCATAGCTTTCAGCCAAGGAAATACACCAATTTACACTGGTCAGATGGGTACAGAAAGTATGTGATCTGGATTACCACCAGTAGTTAGACCTCCATTTCGTGGAAATCAGTGGGTGTGTAGTTTGTATCACTGACTTAGTGTGCTGGCAGTTAGGTTCCTCATTCTGAGTGAGGTCTCGAATCCCAGGTTGGTCTCAACCCCCAAAAGTACCAGTGCACTTTGCTGAGACAGTTAATCCCAAATATAACCACTTCCACATTAATGGCTTTAAATCCCCAATACAATATATTAATGCATCGATAATATTCATTAAAATATTCATGATTGAATCAATCAAAGAAACGAACCAGAGTATCGCATCTAAGGGGATCAGCAGGTCAATTCTGGTCAAGTGAAGTACGACATCAATGACTTGGCATGCTCTAACATTTGTCAAACATTAACTTGGGTTATACCTAGGACAACAAGGGTCTGAAATGGAACTGCCCAGGTAATTACTTCAACACATCCCAGCTCACTGTGCATGGAAAACCCATGATACAGCGCAGTTCATTCTCTAATTAGGGGAGGCAGCTTGACTCTCCCCACAACCTTCCAATCAAACATGGAATGGACTAGTCCAGCATACTGACAACTTGTGTTTGCACTTATGAAACAAGTACACTGTGCTCCAGTCATCAAAACGACAATAAAATCAATAATGTATGTTGAAAAGACAATATTTGTCATCCAAATGCAAATACAGGAAAGACTTCCACCCGTATCCCCCCTTAAATTTCATTCTAGTCGAATCATATCACCTAAATATATATATTCCTCACCTGGTAAGGATGAGTTTTAGCATGTTTCTTTAATTGTATCTTAACATACTGAAAGACATATCCAACTTTTAAAAATGCCACTTAAAGAAACTTTTCCTCATGGTTAAAATTTAGGGGGATACGGGCAGAATTCTTGCCCAAATACATTCTTGAATATGTCGAGTAAAAACACTATTGCCATCAAGTAGATCAATCATGCAGGTTCTATGTGTGTTGATGAAGAGACTGACTATTAACAAGTCTGTGGTGTGGTCTGAGAATTTATAAAAAAAGGGGGGAAAAATCAAAGAAAGAGCAAAAACATGTTATTAATTGTGTGTCCTACTCCGAAATTAAACTGTATGCTAAAAAAATGATAGTGTGAGAAAGATTAAATTGTTCAGTACAGGGAAATGAAATGCAGGTTTTTAAACAGTGGCTGATTAAAAATTCTATATTTACACATTTCATCCCATCTCCAAAAACCTTATGTATTACATCTTGTTTTTATTACATTTACATCAGGATCTATCTGCCTCTACAGCTTCATATAGGAAGTGCCACCCTGGCTCCATCATTAATACGCACAAAATGTCTCAGTGTACTTTGATTGGCCATCTATTTTAAGCTGCAGTATCCCTGTACTTCTCCGTAGAACTATTTTGATATTGCCTCGTCTCCACACAGAGCTACCAGCTTCACCATGTTTTCCTAATAGATCCCTGATCCAAATCCACATCCCACTCGATATACTTCAACTAAAAGCACGTCTCATGCCCTAACGACAAATGTTACATGATTCACTTCCTTAGATACCAGCATTCAAATATAAGTATTTACATTTCAGTCGAGCAGCAGTATATTTACTTCCAAGTTTGAAACCAGACTGGTAGTAACCCAACCCCCTTGATGATTCCAAACCAAATATAAGAGGTGAGGTGAAATTGGGTTTAGCGTCGTGCTTGAGAATATTTCGCTCATATGACGACGTGCATGCGTGTGTATGTGTATGTGCGGCTGCTTGTATTAGCCCAGACTTAAGCTGGTTTTATAGTGCTAGCC